CACATGGATTGTGCAGGTCAGTTCGGTGTTCTTGGTGATAGATGCTTCTTCTACCTTCTTTTATTGAGTGATATAAATGTTTATCTATTTGTCAGCGTAAATGTTAGAAAACTATTTCAGTATATAGAACACCTACAAGTCTATTTTACATGGTTTTAATCACTTCCTCAAGACTGCATCACATTTAATTATTTACCTTCTTTTGTGATAAATGTTTTTTCTGTGTCGCAGGCAGGATGGCACAGCTGCAGATGGGTTCTGCCATGTGCTTGTGGCAGCACCACCAGCCAGGGGCTTTCAAAACAGACTTTACACCTTCATTACTGACACTGGGTTATTGCAACCCCAATGGGCTGGGCATCTTCTCTTTTACTACATGAGTGTCCTCACTTCTATATTTCTGGCTGTATCATAAGACTTATGACTTTCCCATCACCCACAAGGTCATTTTCTCAGCAGTGCAGCTGGGAAAAAAGTCCCTTTGTGGTGATCAGCTGAGTTACACAGATGAAGGGCAGACCATCAAACACAATAAAGCTGATGTAGCTGTCCCAACTTTAATGGAGTTGTTGCCAATTTATATCAGCCAACGATGTTCAGTGTAACAGGAGGGAGATGTAGTCTCTTGCCTTCCCCTGTCAGTCCTGTTTCAGAATATGAAATTGAGTTGGCACATAGAAACAGGGCTGGCTGTGTCTGAGAAAAGCATGAGAACAGATCTGGACAGACATGGAGTCAGTTCCATCACTAAGCCATCATAATGAGAGGTCTCTACACAGCTCACAAATGTCATTCCTGCAAGAAAGGACATTGGCTGTGAAACAGGAAGAGGGAAGAAAGAAATTCAGTCAGTGCTCTATCAGCTCTGCATGATGGAGTCCTAGGTTAACAGGCTTGTTGAGTATATCCATGATGCAACGGCTCTACTCTCAACTTCTTTGTCAACCCTGTCAGAAGTTTCCAGTTTCTATCTGTGAGTAATGGGAAACATGAGATGCAACAATCCAGTTGTATAGTTAGTGTAGGCTGTTTGCTCAGATTACTTGACTTGTCCTTTGCCGGGCTTTGATTTATGTGGACATAATATGAAAAGGGCAAGAACGGTCCTTTGTCTGAGCTTTGAAAGAAAACTGAAGTATGGGACAATTTACAGCTTGTGCTTTGTTGCTGAAAGGAGGTTTTGTGAATTTGTTGGAATAAATATTCTCAAACATATGAAGCAAGATGAAAATGCACTAAATTAAGAGCGCCTTTTAAATTTATGGCTATTGGGAAGAAGATATGAGTTGCCGTTTTAGTTGATTCACAGTAATTATTAAGATCATATTTTGTGGTTGAGATGCACAAAAACAGCTTGACTGTTGCAACCTCTTATCTCAGGAGCACAAAGAGCAGCGTCTGTTCCGATCCAGCAAACACAGCTCTGGCACTCAGGCAGTTCTCTGTGCAGGTAAACAAGGCGTGAGCGAGCCCCACAGAGGACATCACGCGGCAGAGGGCTCTGTGAGATGCTGAGAAGGAAAATATATTAACAGCCTGCCTGAAAGAGACATTTATTCTGTCCTTTAAAAGTGCTTTTTAGATTGCAACAGGCATATAAAGAAACATCTCAGTAAGCTGGGGGTTTTGGAAATGGCATCATAATTTGCAAATGAAAATATATTTTTTAGACTGTTTTTTTTCAATGATCACATGAATGCAAAAGAACATCTTGTCGTACAGTAATGCTGATTTATTTTGCAAATATTTCTAGTTAGCTGTGGATTTATTAGTAAATGCATTACAATCTATACCTTCCTCGCTTCTAGATTTTGACACTTGCTTAGCAAGAGTCACCATTTACACAGAAGTATATTAGGTAGAATCTAATTGCAAATTGTTGTTGCAGTTACTAGAAGACTAGTAAGTAAAGAAGACCTCATTTGGGCTGTTTGTTTTTTAGTATATCATTTCACATTTTAAAGTGGATTTTTGTCTCCTACTCAACTAGGCAGATGTTGCATTAGTAAGATTAACAATTTTTATTTTGTTCATAGAACATAATTTTAAGGCATTTTTGAAAGACCTGGAATTCAGAACCTGTGAGACTTTTCCAACCCTTAAACCCAATCTCTTATAGATGGCACAATTCCACATGGTTATCTCTCGTATGACTACTTTCAGATCCTGATCCACCCTCAAACTAATCAGTTGGTTTGATTTTGGTTTTTACTGTCCTGCTATCCTTACTGAAAAGCTGACCCAGAGTCTCATTCTTCTGATCGGAATCTTCTGATTTCTGAAGTAAGTGTATCCCCAGCTGTAGTACACCTGTTTGTTGTTGTGCCAACAGCTTTCTTTAATATAGGCAGTTTCTTTCCTGAGTTGTTAAACCTTACCCTGTGCTTAGGGAACAATTCTATCTCCTCAATGTTAATTTTATTAATGGTTTCATTCCCAAAGATAAACTTGGCATTCTACCAAGTTCTGTGTCTGTGCCCGCTTGAATAAATCTCTGTTGTGTGGGAGTGAGCAGATTGTGCATGAGGTGTGCATCCTAGCAAAGAGACATTAATGCTTTCTTGCTTCTTTTGGGAATACCTCACTTCATGTATTTGTGATTGCTTCTCTTTTTTCTCAAGTCTGCTGGAGGCTGGCTCACCCCAACTCTTCTTCCCTCCCATTTCCAACCGTGGAGACCTAAAGAATGCCATTGTTCTCTGGCAGAAGAATCCGATTATTTCATAAGTGCGTGACCTCATGCTTTGTGTGTTGATCCTTTCCTTAGTTCTTCTGATCCTCATCTTTATTTATGATGCTTCTGACTGCCACATTAGCAGGTGTTTTTATAACATTTCCAGTGAATCATGTCACTGTGCTATGGTCACTAGTGAAAATGTTTAATAAAATCAGCTTATAGGCAGAATTACTATCCCCTCAAGCCATTTACTTCTCTTTTGGGTTTCTGCTGAGCATTGGAAACTTGGAAGTTCATTTCAGATCTCAGCAGGAGTCAGGATCTTGATGCTGTCTTGAGCCCTGTGTCAGGACTGATCTACTAAGCAGAATCACTGGGCAGTACTTGTTCCTGACCATGCATGAACATCAAGTGCTCTAGTGAACGGAATTCCCCACTGTGGCAGAGAGGTATTGGAGTATTATACACTTGAACTATTAGGTAAAAATTGCAGATTATCTCATTCTTATTTAGCACTGTGTTGCTGGTCAATTTGGGGTTGTTTTGTTTAATTTTGTTTTGTTTCAGAGGGGTTTGTTAATTTTAGGTTTTGGTACGAAAAGATTGAGATTCTAATGAGCAAATGTTCCTTAAAAAAACGCAGTGTTACACTCCATCCTTCTGCTGTGAGTACTAAACACAGCATGATAAATAATGATGATAAAACTGAGATGAAGTTAGGGGACTGGGAGCAAGACAAGGGCCGTATTCTGGTATTGTTAATGGAAAATGTTGCTGGCCTGAGCTCGGATGCTCGATGTTACAGCTTTGTTAGCTGTTGTCTATAGCATGGCTATAGACAGGGCCTGGGCGATTCAAACTTTTCCTGCCTGAGTGTATAAACTTTCAAAGAGATGTTTGACAGATCTTAGGCAGATCTGTGCTTTGGTTTTTCCATATGCAACGTTATTTACATCGCAGGCTAATAATAATGCGCTGTATCCGGTGTAAGCTTTTTTTAACTGCAAACTCTCCAGATCCGTCACTCTGCGTGGTGGGAGTCTGTCAGCGCCGCCGTGTCGGAGCAGCTTTGTGCCTGCTGTAACACCGGTAGCACCTCGCAAGTGCGACCCACCCTTGCTCTCCTCAGAAAGGAGGTGCAAAGTGCCTGATTTTTGGATCTTGTGGGGGTGAGCGTGGAGCTCACCATGGCTTGCTTGATTTAAACGTACGACCTTCTTGGTGACTCTGCTAGAAGAGGTGAGTGACAGAAGCGTGCCTAGGAGCAGAAGGTGTTTGGATTTGGCATGGTCCAGAGCTCCTGTGTGAGTGCCCTCCGTAAGTGAAGAGGCCACTGTGAAAATTTTTCCCTTGTGGGAAATGCAATAGCTATCCTGAGCCCAGACTTTCAGGTGTCTTGATGAGAGGGCTTTGAGATCACAGACTTGATTCAAAGCTCCATGAAACAGAAGCACAGACAGCTGGTGCAAGGTCACTGACAAGTTTTATTAAAGTCTAGTTAGAAGGAACTTTTTAATCTACAAGTTGTGTTTAAAAACATTTAATATACAACACATAATTTTTGCCCTGTCACTAGAAGTGTTTCTCAAATGCAAGCTACACTGATCAGACAAAGGCTGGTTGGTCTGTCCTCAGGATGCTCTGCATTCCTCTGCCTACCATCCTCAGCTAGGAACGTTTTGTCTTGCTTTTGTCTAGCAGCCCACGTCAAGTTAGCCTTGTTCAAACACTAATCTGCTAGGGCTAGTGGCCTGGCTTTATGAGGGGAGGACAGATGAATGAGCAGAGTTCTTGCAGATTAGTAATATGGTTTGTATGTTATATCATGTTCTTCATTACCCTAATGCAAGCACAACAAATGCACAGGAATGCCATATGTAGAGCAGAAGAAGGTAAGCCAATATATTATTAGTTATTAATTTAATATGATCCTCTAATCAAAGATGATACAGTAATGGGCAAAGGGACACAGGCACATTTACATTTGGTATTTTCTGCCTTGAAGTTTTAGTCACATAATCTCAGCATGGCTGTAACTGTTTGATGATGTATAAGAAAATGTTTTTGATTATTTAGAGGAAACCATTATTTAGAGGAAACCATTATTTAGAGGAAAATTCTGAGATTTTCATGTGTTTGGACACAGCCTCTGGAGTCACTAACTGTACCTTGTGCATCTGATTTCATGAAGAATTCAAGATCAAAGGTCACATTAGAGAAATCTTAATAATAACATAATTTAATTAAAATAAAGCACAATTTTTGCTTCTTTTCCTTGTAATGAAATGATGTTGCACATGTTGCAAAATTATGGTAATTTTATTTTCCTGTAACTCATAAAGAGAAAAATAGGAAAGCAACAATGCACTGGGGCATTTTATTAGGAAATTGAGAGCCACATTCACTAGTTCCTCAAGATAGCTTTTCTTCTTCCCTCTGTGTTTTTGTTTTTCAGAATTGCATTGCTTTGGTACCATCTCACTTCTGCAAAAGGCAATTTTGTTAAATGTATCCCCAAATGCACTGATGAAGTTATAACTGCTTGGCAAAGGCTTGGAGACAAAGATACTGCTGTGAAAAATGAGTCTTGTCAAAAGAAAACTGATTTGTGAGTACAAAATGTGGACAACATGGTCAATGTTGTACTATCCATTTGTCTCCCACTTTCAGGTATATCCACTAATCTGAGGTAGTTTTTACATATCAGGAGCATCAATACACACCCTGTCCACCCTTCTTCACTGTCAAACAATATCAGAATAGAGATTTTTCCATCTCTTAGCACTGTGGCTTTTGATCAGTGTAACTGGATATCCTGGGGCTTTGTGGCTGGCACTCTGGGATTTGGACACTTTGTTCCTCTTTGTGCATCTGTACCTGTCTACAAAACGAGAGAAAAGCACAGTCTAGTCTTGAAAGAGATATTATGAGGAGACACATGTTAAAAGACTGTGAGTTTTAGGCTAAGCAGTCAAGGATTTAGTAGATGAAGTATGGATTTGCTACAGACTGTTTCTAAGAGAAGGCGTATCTTGTTCCAGGCTAGTAGTTGTGTGGCATTTTGGCACATAAGTGGAAAGCTGTTGCACCCAGTGTCTGCTAGGAGATCATATTATTTCCTTCTCTCGACTCGTAATGCATTTACCCTGCCTTTGATTTATGTAGCCAGGAACAAGAAGTGAAGCACTTACACAGGGGAGATAGGTAAGTACTTGTGTTGGTTCCTTGTATGCCAGAGCTGTTAAAAGCTAAATTTTCAGATCTTTTAACTCATAGCATAGTGTTTCTAGAGAGGACACCTTAAATCTGTTTGTATGTATTTATTAGTTTCACTACTGGTTTATTTCTGTGCTGTTTAATAGCAGCTGATATCTTCCCATGGTTTTCAAGATCCCAGGGTTTTTTATTGTTGTTGAAATTGTCCTTTCATTGAGATCAGCAGAGTAGCTGGGCTTCTCCAGCAAACAGACTGCAGTTTTACATTAGCCAATGAGTCAATAGTTCATGCAAATCTAGGGAATTCTGCTTTTTGTTAAACTGCAGAAGCACAGTTATACTCTCACAGAGTTTTTATTAATAGTAATAAAATTTATTAATACATTTAGTAATATCCAGTCTTCTTAAAACATGTGCTGCTTATTTTGTCCTATTCCATCTGTTTGAAAAACAAAAATTAAAAGGGTTACACAGTATGTGTGTTGCTTTGATCAGAGACTTGGAATTTCCTGCCTCACATAAAGGAGCATGGATTAAATGTAACTCCAGTCTAACACCCAGATCTAACATTTGCCTTGCAAAAGCACAGACAGTCCTGTCTTGACAAGGTATTCTAAGGGAGACCCCTTTTCTCAAGTGGAAAAGCTGCACTTCAGATGCTCAGATAAATTGTCAGGGGTGTCCCTTCTTTTACAGGCAGCTGCTAAGACCTAGGGGGGATGCTGTCTACCCTTGTTGCCACCAATGGAAGCATAAAGCGGTGACTTTGCAAGTATGTGCTATTTTTGTATAATCTGAGTTTCATCATATTAGCTGGGCTAAACATCCTACAGGTCATTAGGAAGGGTATGTAATATAGGAAGGTTTAATAGAGGTGCAAGCAGAGAAATGTCCTGTCCCTCATAATAGATGGTATTGGACAAAATTTCACCTATTTGCTGATGTTACCTTGCTGCTTGGTACCCCACAAGAGAAATAGGCAGAAGAATAAGGCAGGGTCCAACAGAAAGTACTACATGAAACAGGGTAGAAATCTAAAAATTGAACTCTTTCAGTGATCCCTGATGACTGCCTGCATTCTCACCAAACCCCTGCTATCCAGGCTTTTTCCTTTCATGCTGTTTATGCACCATGCAAATACTCTGATGTCTGTGGAACCTGTATCTCTTTTGGCAGCAGGAACATAGCCCTCTAACCTCTGATAGTGACACCAGCTTCTCTGGGCAATTACTTTGGCTGATGTTAGGAGACATCTGCACATAACAAAGCCAGAACAACATAACACCCTCAAAGAATCTCAAAGAATCCATCAGTCTGGCTCTCCTGTGCAACCAATGCCAAGGCAGTTTCAATCCAGCAGAAACAGACTCAGTAACAAAGATGTGAGGGGGTTCTAATTTCCGACATTCTTGTGCAACTCAGGCATCCAAAAGATCCACAAGCAGAAGTCCCTGCAGCTAAATCCAGTCCTGCAGATTTTCACTTGTGTAGGTATTGGTGCTGAACCCTTTCCCACCCCATGAAATGCAGGAGGGCTTTGGCTTTGCAAAGTTTCAAGTTGTAGAACTCTACCTGAAATTCCCCTGGGTGAGGGTTCATGTGGTCAGGGGTGAAGCTGAGCTTCCAGGCCAGCACATGAAGATATGGAAGGTGTATGCTCCTCAAATGCCTTTCTGGTTCTTTCTGGTGGGAAAATGGATAAATAAATTAATTAATGTGGGTCCTATTATACCTTTTTAAAAACAGAAGTTTCAATTAAAGAAACACATGCTTAGAAAAGGTTAACAGACCCATGTGCTGCTTAAAAACTTAAGCAAATATAAACACTTGCAAAACACTTTGTGTTTGTAAAGTGCTTTGTAAGTCAGAAAATGAAAAAGAAAATTACATGAAAAAATATTAATAATTTCCTTACCAATGTAAGGAAATTAAATTCCCATTGGAAAACTATTGAGTCAGAGGGGCAGCACTGAATGCTGTTGGATGTCTGAGCTTCCAGCTGACAAATGGTTTCTAATTTAGGGCTAAATTAAGCCCCCATTTGTACAAAGCAAAGCGACACAGAGTCCCCAGGCAGGTGCAAAGGAGAGCCCTTTGTTGCAAAAACCAGGCCTTTTTATGCAGTTAGGCCTTTATCAGTTACAGAGTTTTAAATCATAACAAACATAATCCAACCAACCATCATACACCAGGATGTGAACGTATAATGTTTATATAACTTGTTTTCCTACCTCTAATTCAGCTGAGTCACTTTCCCATAGTCCTTTTTTGCTTAGCTGAAGTAGCAGGCCTGGGCCATGATTTTACAAGACCAACAAGGCCCTTATTTTATAAGGCTTTACCTATATCCAAAAGTCATTTATGCCAACATGTGTCCCCAGGAACTCTTTTCACTTCATCATTGTGCTTGAGTCTTACCCCTATGTAGCTGAGACCATAAATGAGCCCTTATGCAACATTTTGCTACTGAGAATTCTTACAGAGCCTCATCATTATTTAAGTTCTTTCCTGAATAATGAACAGGCAAGATACAGTAGGCAGAAAAGACTGACAGGCATGGATGTGCTGTTATAAAACCATGAAATGTCCTAAAACTTGATGATTCTGACTCTATTACAGATAACACTCTTAAAATTAGTCCTAACTGTTTACTTCCCACATTTAGGTCCAATAAACTTCGGGAATCCAGAAATTTCACATTATTAAGGCGTTGGATGGACCTGATTATGACATGTATCACTTTGTGATTCATGTGGAAGCTTTTCAAAATTGTCTTTCAGTGACTTCTTCCCAAGCCTGGGTAGAGCAGGTTGTTGGGGCCGGACGTTTGTGTGGCGTAGGAGAAACGTTGCGTGTGAGCGTGACCTTCAGGCAGTCGCTGCTACGGGCACGTCTCTCGTGGCTGCCATGATAAATGATGTTATGCTGGCTAATTCAATCAGTGCACCTGATTAATGCCTTGCAGCTTCTGAATTTCTTGTCACTCTCTAGTCCCACGGAGCCCTTTCCGTATCTGCTCTTCTCAGACGTGCAATTTTTTTGCACTTCTTTCTCTGCAGAAATTCCAGTATTCTCCATCTGAAAGTAAGTTTGAGAAGCATATTTAGTACATCCAATAAGAGAATATTCAAAAGGTAACCAGTAGCACCTCCTGCTTCCCCATTAAATTTATTTTCATCATTTCACAAATGAAGAACCTTCTGCATCTTTTGGACTTATAAGCTAAACAATGGAAATAACTTTTTTATTATTATTTAATATGTTGGGAATTGTGTTAATGCAGGGAGAGAACAGCTGCTGAGAGATGTTACATGAAAGAATGTAAAGAATCCTACAAGGATTTTCACTCTCTTGCAGCACTGACAAGGATCTGAGTTAGGAATATGGCAGACAATATTGTCCCCATGTCTATTGTGTGTCTGTCTCTGTGCTTGCACATAATAGGGAGCCTTTTTCTGATCCCTTCTTGACTTTTGCCATCTATTAAATACATAATAAAAAGAGGTTTAAAACCTTTCCCCCAAAACCTCCCCATTTTTCCACAAAACTAGCAGCCTAGGTATCTATTGGAATATGTTAGCTCTCTTGGTGATTTTTCCTTTTTTACCCCTCCTAGTAGATCATGTTTTCAATACCACCTCAGGATGAAAACAAAAATAATCTGGTGTTTTGTTACTTTTAAAATTGTTTTCCTCTTTCTTTTCAATCTTTATTCACAATTTTTATTTTTTTTCCCACAGGAAAAAGAAGGAAAGATGAAGGAAGGAATTTCTTCAGTTAAGCATTTCTCTGGAAGAAATTGGAAGAAGCACATTTCTACGACAGCTAACTGAGCAAGAAAAAACAAAAAAGAGCAACTGCCATTGTTTCAGCCAAGCCTAGCAGTCCATGTCTGGATTGCTTGTTGTAATTCAAGTGCAGGTTTTAATAGGAATAAAACCACATTGGTTTGAATGCACGGAATACCAGTAATTCCCAAACAGAGGAGCTTCCTGCCCATGGGCAAGCACCAGCCTTGACTTGGACTCTGGTACAGCTGTTTCATCAGCACACTCTAATGCCTTTATGAACAGACTTTCCCCATCCATGCTGTGGTCCAGGAACACAGCCTGGCTCCTCCCTAGGACTCCTGTCATGTCTTGCTTGATTGTAATGAGACAAAGGAAGGATTCTGGAGCAGAACCTGGGACAGAATCTCTCCCTGCACCTTTAGAGCCACTAACTCCAGACCCAATAGCTGTGCTGCAAGAGGGAAGGGTGAGAAATAAACAACCTGACCTGTAGATTAGACTGGAGTTCTGCCAGGGAAAACACTGGGATGACTAAACCTGCAGCATCTTGCTTAAAGGTTTGCCCCTGAAGTCTTTTGCAGGTCACTGAAATCTGCTTTCTCCTGACCCTGTAGGTCTTATGCAGGACTTGTTCTGCCCTTTTTGCACTATCCATAGTAGGTATATTAGTAAAGGCCCTGGATATAAAAGAAGTCCTCAGGTTGTGCTGCTTCATCTACCACTAACCTGTCAAATCATGGTTTGTCCTGCAACAATCTGGGTTGCATTCTGAAATCCAGCTCATTATTCATAGGTGATAAACAGCTCTCGCCTGTCCTGTGTCTGCAGCTAATAGAGCTGTCAGCTCCACTTCATTCCTTGTCATCCCATCCAGAAACACATAGAATGCCTTAAAGGAAACAGGCCATCCTGAGACTGGCTCTTGAGATAAAACTGACCCTTATTCAAGTGTACATGCAAAACAGCTTGGACTTTCCCTTCTATTGCAATTTGTATTTGCCTCTTGTTAACAGAGAGTTAATGTGAGTTGAAAATATGACTTTTGCCAGGAAAATATCTGTTACAGGTGCCAAAGGCTGTTCTGTTGTCAATGCTTTGAGATATTTTCATGGCATGTTTGTAAGAAAGGCTTTCCTCTCTGTCTCCTTCACTTGCCTTAAGCCCAGCATTACCATCTCATTCAAGAGATGATAATGACTGTATTCACTTGTTGCACTGGATGTTTGTGCCAAGGATATTTATGAATGTTCTAGCTCATTTTAAATTCAAACTTCAGTGCCTGGAGACACTTTTGTATGAAAAGCAATTGAGTCACCATAGCAGGGAGGGAGAGGTTCAGCAGGTAAAGTGGCACTCAGTCAAGAAGGTGCTTGTTGGCTAGTAAAGTACAGGGGATGACAGCTGCTCTGACAAAGTGACATTTGCATCTCCAGAGAAGTGAGACTTCTTAATTTAACTGGAGAAGTGTCAAGATCATCTGCTGAGTAAGTTAAAAGGAAGTAAGTTTCAGATGGAAAACCAGAAAGTTTCTAAAGGAAAAAATAAATCTGCTTAGAGCCCCTGGAAAGAAGATTAGTTACAAATGGTGGTGTGGAGGAAAGGTTTTTCTCTAACAAGTGCAGCCTGTAACACATGGCATGCAGGGAAACAGTGTCCCTGACATGCCTGAAGACTACTTACAGCAAATAAGAAGGAGATGGAGTAAAAAGGACCCTTTATTTTTTCCCTACTAAGTAGGCTGATTATAGCCTTCTTTATTATGCCTTAAAACCCTTGCTACTGCAGTGTCTATTTTGGATGCTGTAAATAAATGTTCCCACTTGGATTTTGCTTTAACTCAGATGGAGTTAAAGTACTTGGTTAAAAACAAGATGTTCCTTGCTGAAGGCTGCCACAGCCCTAATAGGCAACTGGGGATGTGGTCACCTAGAGGTGAGGAGGTGAAGTCACCTCTTCCCACAATGAGGGCTCTTAGAAAGCCA